GGGCGAAACTTGGCGAGGCTCTTTATGTTTAAAATCCGCCTGATTTTTGTGTGAGATCAGGAGGAAAATCAGTGAAATCTGCAATTAAAAATCCCTAAGATTCTCCTAGGAGAAATGCAATTTGAGATGGAAATTTGGCAACAGTGAAATGTAAGTATGTTTTTTCGTGAGGGAAACTACGAACTTATCGGAAATGCCCATATCTCCCGACAACACCGTGCTTTATTTGCTCCGTGATGGCTGACTGAACATGGATGGCGCGCGCGCCCTTTTTGGAAAATTTGAAAAGTTAAAATTATCTTTCCGTGCATATTGCCTTTCCCTATCGCCCTCATGACAATGCGAAATTTTCCATCCTCTTGCACGGTTTTTTATGAAAAGAGAAGATGATTTGTATTGTTTTTCAAGAAAGTATGTTTCTTAATAATATTTATGTATTTTAGAAAATTAAGTGATTGTAAGGGTAATTGTCATTTTGCAAAATGGGAGAAGTTTCAAAGATAAGAATTTCCAAGTCCAATCATGTCTATCCATATGGATGGATAAATCTATGTGATCTCTGTGAGTTATGACGTTTCTTGTTTGTACGGCGGTGCTATGCCGCGGTTGCGCTATGACTCAAAGCTAGAGGTCATACTAAATCACGTGCTTTGTCGCAAAACCACGTCCAGCACGCCCGCAATGGGGGGCTTTGCAATAATAAAGTAAGCCAACCACCCTAGGATGATTTCGGAAATCTCATGTGGCAAAGTCTCCCGTGCTCTCCACGTTGAAGCGCCTTCAAATAGCGTGATATACTTATTTTATAGCCTCTCTACACGAGTTGTATAACCCACGTTCTGAAGGAGCTCTCACTTCGGAGTTCTGAATGAAAAACACGCAGTTAACTTTACTTCTTTCTTACTTGAATGTTTTGATAACTGTAGGCATTTTAATTCTCACAGGTTGTTACCTGTTAGAATTGAGAAAAATAAAATAATACTTGACTGAAAGACCAGTTTATTTTTCGCTAAATATTCTCAAGGAAAATGAAAATCAAACACAGGCTGTTTAGATCACCTGTACCAGGTTTTTTTCTAGTTTTTTTTCTTCTTTTTTTTTAGATCGAACGAAGTCGAGTTTTCATTTTTGAGGAAATTTTGAATAGGTTTCTTAGGATTTTTTAAGTGTGATAGAACACAATGCGAAGAATATTCCCTGAAAAAAAAATGATCACGTCCGAATGTTTATACGGTTTCGGGACATTTTTTCAACGATTTTTTGTCCGCGCACCTTTTTCGTCCAGTAGTTTACACCCACACGTAAAATAAGCAACAGTGACTTAGTCTAAGCGTTATATTTTAGTCGGTATGTAAAACAATATGGACAATATGGAAATGAGAAATTAAGAGAGAAAGAGGTGTTGTTATGGTTGCTCATTTTCTAGATGAAATGTTATTAAGTACTTTCTCCTTTTGAATCATCTTTTTAAATTGTCATTGGTGAATATTTGGTTTTATTTCTATCCTTAAAATATTCTATGTACAATAAACCTTATATGTGTATAGGTACTTTTTTTTTATTTTTTTAATTTTTTCTTTACGAAATTATTACTTCATTTTGAAAACATTTATATTTTTAAAACGTAACAAATATTTGTAAAACCTTTTCCAAGCGACATTAATCTTCGCAGTTGTGCCGACAGAAACTGCAAAAATGAATAAAAGAGGGAAAAAAACCAAAAAGCACGCAATCTTCAGTTTTAACCCATTTGTACATCGATCTTACGTCACATTTTGAGCGTTTGGTTGCGCGCACACCTCGCTGCAGCACAATAAAAGCACAACATGTGAAAGAAAAAATTAAAGTGCTTTGGAAATCATTAAATTTGACACGGAACCACCAGTATTTGAAAAATTATTATTCTCCTTTCATAAATTGATATATATATTTTTCCCCATCAATTTAAATGAGAATAATCAATGCAGAGTGTGCAAACATTTCAAAATCATGAGTTAAAAACGCTGACTATGCGAGTAGAAATATTAAAGCCTAACAGAGTGGAGCGGCGTGCTGCCAGCGCGAGAGGCTCACTGGCGCCTACAAACCCAAGTGGATACTCCATGCATTGCACAATGCTTGAAGTATCCACTTAAGTTTGTAGGCGCCAATGCGCCTTTCGCGCTGGCCGCCCGCCCGCGGTGCGGCGGCGCCTGAAGCAACTATTTCACGACAGAGGTGTTGCACAGTATTATACGAAATTGAACGTATTAAGAATGACAGGCATCCTTTAAAAGTACAGATCTTTCCTCGCAAAATAAATCAAGATACTTATCGTACACAGGAAAAATCTAAGAGCCTTTAGCCGAGGCAAATATAGAGGTTTATCCGGTTCAGGTATAACAAGGTGGGAATTGCTTGAAAGATAATTAAGTCCTGTTACACCAAAGAAGTGTAGAGAGTTTTAGTGAATTTTGTCTCATGGAATTGACGCTCCCCCATTTTTACCAAAAGTCTCAACTATTGTATATTATTCTCCGTTGGACCAAACAGACAAAACAAAAAAAAACAAGCAAACCCTCATTCTTCCAAGACATTATACATTTTCATCCGAAAACGTCGTGAGCAATTGTCGTTTGTATTTACATGTGGGCCAATTAACTTTTGGTCTCAACTGGCACGTGCATGGACCAAAACTTCCGTGCCGAAAAAACGCGTGGACGTAAATTACTGGAAAAAACAGGTGTGCGGACAAAAAATTGTTGACGAAATGTCCTATATCCGTATATACGATAGTTCTTTTCTCTAGCGCGGCAGTCAAGGTTGTGCGGTAAAAGGTGGATATTTTACGTGAGTTCAAATGAGGGAAAGTGCTAATGTTTCAGCAGTATCTATGCAACAATGACGGAATGAGGTTAGTCAAACTCATGCGTCCAGACAACATGTTGCGTGCTTCTATCGACGATATTCTTTTTTCCCGCAGATTCGTCTATTTTTTGTATATTCTCTTCTGAAATGAAGCCATCAATTAGGCCAGCAGAATCACTGTTTCCTGCATGCTGAGTACATTTGCTCAAATTCTATAATCTATCAGCCAAGAAGTTGTGAATTTTCGTGTGCAAATGAAGATTTCCCAATTCCTTTCCTTTTTCTCACCCATTTTCACATTTAGAATCATGAGCATAATTAGAAAGTAAATGGACAGATTAGTCATGTTTTTTTGTTTTTTTTTTCTTGTTAATGATACACCTCTTGGACCATCTACCTATATATTCTTGGACATTTTTACAGCATGGTTGCGCTTACCTCTGAACGTTCATGTTGTTTCGGACAACCAACGTTGTTCCAATGTTGTTCAATCACGTTCAAAACAAAAAGCTCATCGTTTTTTCTTTTAAAATACGTATTTCAGTAACAGAGGATAATAAATTCGCATGCTTCGACCATACTGCCTTGAACATTCGAGAGTTGCCAAACTTCCCTCGCTGAAATATATATTTTCGATGACATTCATGCACACTTTTCCTTGAAATTTTCAAAGATTTTAGATTGAATTGCGTACAAAATTGTCTGGAAATTTTGGGGAGAAATATTCACAAATTTCCCAGTTATTTCTGTTTTTATTGAAGGAAACTGAGCACCGTCTGATGGCTCATACAGCGTTTTTCTTTAGCACGGCAGCATACCGTACTGGTGCGTATTTTATGAACCTGGTCTACAAGTGCTCCAAGGTGATGACTCTAAAGCAATTCATTAAAAAAAATAAGACTATTTTTCTACTAGCTTTGGGTCTTGCCTTACTGGGTTCTGAACTGGCCGCGGGCTCATGAAAATTTATTTCATAAACATAAACTAGAAGCACTCGCAATTTTTTTCACAAAGTGCCCCCAAGAAACGATTCTTCCGCGTTCGATTAGGATCGACATCTCAGGTCAGGAAGTGTTGGGGCCGCAGCCTTCGCATTTCAGCACACGGTAAACATTGAATTGCTGATTTAACAATTCAATTGCTAAAAACATGACTGCAATGTTTCAATGTAGATTTAACAACAAAAAAATGCTACTTTAACCACCCTCGTGGTTAAATTATCTTAAAATAGTGGTTAAAGTAGCAATTTTTTTCGTTATAAAATCTACCTATGTTGAAACGTTGCAGTTACTTTTCGCAGCAATTGAATTGTAAAATCAGCAATTTAATTTTTTCCGTGCCGAGAAAAGAGCAGAAAATTTCACAATTTTAACAGATGTATTTGCTATAGCGCTATAGTTTCGCCAGTGAAACTAAAAGATAAAGTATTCGGCCTGCGATGTTACAGCTTTCCTCGCGTTTTATTTATTCGGAAAACGAATAATCGTCGATTTTGTTGGAAATGCCAGGAGATTTATACGGTTTGTTCTTTCAAATTTTTGCTGGTAAACATCAAGAGTATATTTTCAAACGAGAGAAAAAATAACAAAACAAAGGATGACTCGTTAAATTAGGCCAAAAGAGAGTCTACAAATCATAATTATTTTTTTGCGATTTTGAGGACCGACGACGATTCAGTACATTTAAAGCAATGCATTTTCGTGAAATTGACAATGCTGCGATGAAAAGCACTAATGGTATTCTTCATTGGTTTCATAGACAACGCTATAATCAAGTTGAGGTGTGAGAGAAACGAGCAAAAGCGTCACAGTTAGTATCGCATGCGACGAACACTGAACGAATTTCATCTAAAGGGGCCTGGATACGACTATTCGAGCTCTGCGGATGTCCGCGTTGCATACGCACAGAGTTGAAGGCGTTTTGACTACCAGGCTCTTATCGCCGCAGTCGTGGCGCGGAGGCGAGCAGTAATGCGAGGATTCAAAAAGACAGCGTGCCTTCAATTCTTCGTTTATACTACAAAAAGATGTCTTAGGCACGAAAAGCTGCACACAGGCGTAGGATATGAGTGTCATTTGTGCTTGAGTTTCGGCACTGTGACGTGCTAAGAATTTGGCATTGATGAACTGTCCGTGAAAAAAGTGAACAAAGAGTTTGTTGATTTAATTTTATTGATTCAAAATATATGAATATCAAATACATCAAGTAATTTAAAGGTACATTAAAATAAAATTGTTCAAATTTTCTCTTAACTATCAGACTTTGGTTTAGCTCAAAATTGTAAGCATCATTTTGGATTACAGGCACATGAAGCGTGAACAACAGAAACTGTTCTATGATTTGTACCCATGAGGTCGGCCTGTGCAGGCAAGAGTAGCACAGGCGACCAATAACAAAAATTCCTGTTCTAAGAGAAATTATGTAAGTATTATGTTCCTTGTATTTTAACTTGGTATACTCTGTTTTGGTAAATCATTCCTCATTTTGTTTTTGAGTAGAGCTTGCTACTCTCTGTAAAAAAAAAAAAAAAAACTGTACAAAGTGAAACATCTATGGCTGATAAATCACACACAGTTTTCGTTGCATGGAGGGTTGAAAATTAGTTTTTGAATTTCCAAAAAACCTTTTTTGCGGTTCCGGTAACATAAAAAATTAACTGACAAATATAGCCTGCAGCAAGATCAAAGTTATATGTTGCTTTTTGAAAATAGGGCAAGAGCCAGGTGCAACACTTGGGTATTTTAAAAATGCTTTAATCCGATAAATGTTCAAAAGAGAGTTCAACAGAGCAAGAAATAGTGCGAGAGATATTATGGAGCTATGAAAGGCTTTGAAGAATTCAAAAACTATGAATTTCCTCTACCAACAAGAAATACCAATTTCTATAAGATTTTGAAAAAGACTTACAGACATAATTTTTTTCCCAACAATAAGGCATATTTTGATTATACTTCAAAGCATTGAATATTATATCAACTTCTGATATAATTTTCAAGCAATGTTTAATTAAGGGCAAAGGACTCGGGTCAAATACCGAGCTAAAAGGCACTCAAAATTGATGGCTGAAACGTGCCCGGATTAACTTTTCATTCGAGAATTCTGGACTAATACAGAAAACACTAATAAAAGTATATACGATTATAATAAAAATAAAAAATAAAAAAATCAAGACTTGTTTGATTTTTATGGAAATATTTAGATAGTGGGTCAGTTGCACTGGTCACTGAATCATGAACCAATGGCTTAAGCTTAGCAGTAAAAAATTATCAGATCTGTTCAAACGTCAAGTTTCTAGATCCGAATATAACAGAGACAGCACAAACCATGGTTCCTTTATCCTGAGTTTCATCCGTGTTTTACCTTGGGTGAGTATTTGCGAGTACATCACTGACTGATGAAATCGGGGTGGAAGAAACCATGGTATGCACTACCTTAGTGGATGACGTTGCACGGCTTGTTCCTCAATGAACAATATCTCTGTTAATACTGGACGCAGAAATTTGGGGTTTTGACAGTCCGTATTAATTTATTCTAAGCGATGAGCTGAAACCATTAAAACATGATTCCATGATTAGCTCAATTGACCCAATTATCAAACTTTTCAAAGGAACCAAGACAGTGGAAACTTAATCAATCTATTTGAAATTAAAAATTTAAAGGTAAAATGTCAAAATGAAGTGAGTCATTTGAGGCTAAAATTCTGTATGAGTTGTCTAAAAGAAAACATGCGTATACAGGTATATGTACTTTTGGCAATTGTTGCCAGGACTTTTGCATGTAAGCTTGAGGAGCGAAATAAAAATAAAGAAAAAATAAAGTAAAAAAAAGCAAAAATGAACACAAAACAAACTAATAGAAAAATATAAACAACTGATCACTCTGGCATCTTCAAATTCATGCAAAGTACTTCTACATAACATATAAAAAAGTGATTAGTTTATAAAGGTACTAAAGATAAAAATAAAGAAAAAATGTAACACGAAAGTAGTTATAGCAAAATGCTATTATTTACACTTTGGGAGACTTAGAGATAAGACTATCATTAATGTTATGACACATAATTGACACCGTTTTTAAACTACATTGAAAACGGATCAAAAATAAATTTAAGTTTGAAAATATAGAATCATATCATATAGGTATATCTGAATAAATATTATTGAGTTTTTTTACAATTTTACAGTAGATAAACCGTCTGATCGAGTAATAAAAAAAAAACGAACTAACAATAAAAAAAGAGTAGCTGATGGGAAGTTATCTGTGGTTTGTCATTACAAAAGCTGCAAAACCTTGAGACTTGCTTCCAGGCTTCCAGAATGAAATGTCTTCCCAAATGATGTGTATAGACCAATTAAGTGGCTACGTCACGCTTATATATTAACTGATGCAGATTTTGATAATGAAGATATGTGCTATGGTTTTGGTTTGAACCAATGGTTGAATCAATTACCTATGCAGTACGTTGCAAAAGTGACGTTGCCACTGAATTAGTCTGATAAAGTCAGAAGGACCTAATACCAAAAGTATGAAGATTTTGGAGGACCATCTCGTTACTACGAGATAGTCCTCCAAAATATGCGGTAAAAATACACTACACGTTACACACATTGTAGGTACAGGAAGCAAGAAACTCAAATTACATGACAATGAGTGGACAGTATGGTAAAATCTAAAGACGTTACCAGGGTTGAAATAAAGTTTACAATTTGAGACTCAAGAGTTGCAGTTAATGTTGCAAAGTTGGCAAAAGGTAGACAAACCAAATTCCCTTTACACTGCATTTGTCTCAAGAGAAAATAATAATTTAAGAACTTGGTAATGTTCGCATTTGATTAGCCGAAACAGCAAAAATCTGTAGAATAAATGCTGTCACCTCAATGAAAAGGGATCACCCATGAAAGAGGTCTCTATTTAAAGGAGTTTGTGGTAGAGAATCCTTGAATTTAATCATACTAATCTGATGACAAAGATCCTATACAAACTAATTTAGGTATCATTTACAAAAGCTTCGTGTCATACCGAATGAAGTTTTCAAGATTCAGAATAATAATATCTCACTGATATAAAAACCAACCAATTGTTTTTATTAAATGCGCTGACTCACTCAAAAACCAGAATTACTTTTGGAAAAGTCTAAACGAGAGAACAACCTTTAGGAAGGTACCCAGCTGAAAGATCAGTGGCATAGAGGACTCACCTCTGAGGAGGTCTTACATTCCTCACACTTGGGTGTTTATTAAATCATCGTAAACGACACACATTTTCAAGTAAGCTTTCACCCAACAGAACTCTGGAATGAAAGAACAAGTCCATTGTCTTAACAATTTCCTAATTTGGTGGTGTATCAGAGCTTGACTGACATGTGGTGAGAGGAGGAATTTGACTCCGAAGCTACGGAACTATTCGACCAATCGGTCACGATGCCGCTCTCTGCTGATGAGCATTGGCTTGTTTGGCGGGCATCACCACCTCCGCCGCTGCAACTACTGCTACTGCTGCTTGACATTGATATGATTGAGTGCGGCCGCTTCCGGATGTGTTCAGTTGGTGACGTCAATGCAATTGAATTTCGAAACCTCGGTGCTGCGAAAAAAAAGGACAGAATTAATGACAAGGTCTCAATACACGAGCAATTAATTTTTTACATCAATATCTGCAATATAATCAAATATTAATCCCAATAACCCAACTAGCAGTGATCGTGATAAGATGCAATTTGATGGGAAATTTATTCACGATCTTATCGACGTCAATTTACTGCAATATTACCTATCGGATAATATTTCATCACATAAATCCCTATTGAACAAAAAATCGCGATAAATTGAGATAAAATTCCAATTTTATCAAACGCGATTTTACAGAAATAAAATTAAGACAAGATCGATGATAATTGCTCAGATGCTGATGATCTTGGCGATTTCATCGCCAAAGAATTAAAAAAATTGTGACTAAATTTCAAAATAGTAGTAACAGATTTTAAGTGAGAAGATTTCTTTTATTTTCTCAGTTACTTAAACTCAAAAGTGAAGAAATATCAAGGGCTACTAATAGGCTTACTTTTATTAAGTTGTGCTATGCTTATCGAACGGTCATTGATCTGATCAGCACTTGGGCGGATATCCAAACACGGCTTGTTTCCAATTCCCATTGAGATCATCTCAGCTAATCGGATTTCTGTGGAACAAAAAGCATTGAAATAAAATTGAGAGATACTACAGAGAGTGCTTATTTAAAGAAAAAAAAGCTAAACTTGTTTATTAGTACCTACGTGGGAAAAACTGGTAAGAAAAATAAAAAATATAATAATAAAAAACTCGTTCTTCAAAAAGCAAACTTTTACAAAACTCACTATTAAAAAGTTCGTTTAAGAAAACTCTATGTGGGTAGATACGTTTTTAAAGAAAATTTACGAGAGATAAAATTTCAGTGCAAATTGTGTAAAAAGTGTTAAAATACTCTTAAAATATCAACTGCAATGTAGTTTATAAACACCAAAAATGTTGACAACTTTTAAGAAGAAAGGGTTAAAAGACTCTCATTCGTAAATTTTACAGAAAATTAAATTTTACTTAAAAGAGTTGCCAAAAAGGGTTTCCTATAGTAAAAATGTTAACAGTTCTTTAAGAGTTTTTGAAAATTGCTATTTAAAGGTTATTGCTCCTAGATACCTATGTGCCAACATTTTATATGAGTGGGTATGATCAATGAAGCATGAATACTTAGTTCAGATGGAAATTCAAGGGAAGAATGAAAGGACAACCCCTCCTCCCTCCTTCTTTCGTTTTGTTTTCAAAAATTTTAAATTGTCTAGTTGTGCATTCGAAGCTCGTTGCGTAATTTTTCCATCTGTTTTCATAATCCATATTAGAGCTCCATCATTTGAACACGAAAATGCAAGATGTGTAACTGAAAATTATTCACTGAGTCATGCCTCTGACCGCCATGAACTGACCTCTGTTCCTCATTGCTTGCTTCCAAAGTAGACTTGAGAGTTCTTCTGTCCACGCCTGTTTGATGTCGTTTGACATAGATTGTAACGTGAAAGTGTCGTTTGGCTTGCGTTTCCTGAACCAAATCTCGAATTTTGTGTCGCTATCTCCAACCTTTGCAGTTAGACCGATGTCGCTCATTTTGATGCTGTGTTTGTAGATATACAGGTCAAGATTCTGAAACAGTCCATTGAAATGTGTGAAAATTCAGGCACTTTACCAACTGTTCACAATGCAAACTGCAAACGAACGTTTCTCACGTATGAGTTAATTGTAGAAGTTTTCGATGCTTTCAATGTGTTATGCATTAAATTTAATGAGAGAAATTATGCTGCAGAGCTATAAACTTCTTGCCTTGTCTAGTGGTCTGAACTGGCGTGCGTACCTATATTTGTAATTCATTGATGTATCTTTATCTTAAAATGGTACCCAAAAACACACTAATACCAGGACTTATAGCTTCCATACCTTCTTACTTATTTTAAAAATTTTAATTTGAGCATTAAAATGCGCTTAAAATGAAATATATAATTGGAACAAAACTGCAGAAATGTAGGTGAGTAAGAATGAAAGTAGGTAATACAAATTGGGTAAGTACATACCTTTCTATCTGGGAATCTTCTAGCTTTGCTGAACAAAATCAGTTCTTCAAAAAGGAATACTTGCCGCAGACACTTTTTGCTTTTTCCTTTGCCTTGCCAAACCAAGAACTCATTCTGCCTCAACAGACGTCCTTGTTCTTTTAAATTAACCTGAGGGGAAGAAATTGCACCAAAAAAATTAATATAAAAGTCAAAATTTTATCTTGCCTGATACTCAGTACAAAATTTTATAAACCGGTTTTAAAAATTTAAAACATCTTCAAGCAAAAGGTTGGTTTGTCGACAAGCTTCTAGTTTGTCCATCATATAGGCTATTAAACAAGCCAGCGGATAATGATGGGCAGTAATGGGTCAAAGGCACTCCTTATTTTAAAATTCATTTACTGAAAATTAACAGCAGGTAAACACAAAGCCTTAAGACATCTTTTCAGATTTTTTCCAGCCCTGGATGGCAAAGAAACCCCGTTTTGAAAATGCCAAAAATTTGAGTAGTTGGAAATATTTTTTGCAGGTTCCGATGATGCAGCCAGGGAGACTGTCCCATTTTCATACAGCAAAAGCTGTCATCGTAACATTTAGTAAGCAATTAAACTCAAGTAAAATATGTTCCCCCCCCCCACCTTTTTTTCTTGTTCTTTTTATGAGCGAGAAGTTTCAATTTATGTGTCAGCAAATCTGAATATTTTAGTTAGAAGTTACTTTCAATTATTTTTGTTGCACAAATCTTGTTCTGTGTGCCTAATAGTTTGACGAGAAAACATGCATCAGAATACTTTCATTTGCACCTTGTCTAATGGTCCATTTTACCAAAAAATTGATCATTTTAGACACTTATGAAATAATAAGGTATCCTTACGTCACAATCTCTAAGGGAGTCCATGGCAAGGAGGTCATTTCCGTGGCGCAGCTGGAATCTGACCATGGTTTCGGCTTCACGAATGTCTGGTATGTCCGTCCGGGAAGCTTTCATTAACTGTTGGAGGAGTAGGGCGTATTTTCCCATTCGTTGAACAGGCTTCAGCAGATAACTTCCTAGGTCCATTGAATCTTTCAATTCCAATTGTTTCGCCTTAAAATATCATATTCAATCATATTAATATTCAAATAATATTCAATCATACTCATATTCATACCATATCCAATCATATTAATATTCACATCATTTTCAATTTAGGTAAGTCAATAAGTGAAAAAATCTGTAGGTCCAATTATACATTACAATCTCAGTGGAGGCTGAATGGAAGGAGTGGATCGAAACAGAAACAAGTAAAGCAAGTATGTAAGTCTGCAAACATCCACTTAGTTAGCAAACTTTCGAGGTGGACTGCACATTAAAATTGATTTTGATTGACAGCCGATTGCTTCAGTAAATCTTCAGATTCTTAGGCTAACTTGATGCCTTTCCAGCATGGTAAACATAATGAGGGACGATCAATACAGCTTATCTATACAGTTTTAAATTGTCTCAACTCTCAGGATAAAATGCATAAAATACAAAGATTTTAAAATTTACTAGACTGAAAGTGGTAGATTTCATCAAGAGGCAACTCATAAGTATCGCCAAAAAACGTTTTTTGATAAAAAATTAGAATGTGCAGACAAGAATTGGTGAGAACAGAACATACACATCCAAAATAGAGATTGATGACATACCTTGAAAAATTTGGTACCATACTCAGACATGAGTGAGTCAGACTTAGGTTTATTTTTATTGTACAGTGCATAGAGGTAAAATTTCTTCTCCTGAAATAAAAAGAAAACAGTCAGTTTAAAAAAATAAATAAATAATTACGCTTGTGAAGGTTCATTTTAAGCGAGTGTTCTTCCTATCCTTAAGCATATCCTCCAGAGGGAAAATACTTGATGATTACATGCATGAATATTTTAAAAATTACAAGAAAAAGTTAAAAAATGCTCAATACCTATTGACTTAGATTTCATAGTTTGATTTTGAATTGGAAGGTAGCAAGAGCCGAAGATCAATTTAGCACCCTTCTTCAGAGAGAGGCTTGCTTAGATTTTTCCAGGCTTTTAAAAATTAGAAAGATATTTACTTGTCACTAAAACATATAAATATCATCTTTGAAATCATTTACTTCCTGACTCATTAAAAGTACCGATGTACAAAGATGAAAACAGGCGTTAAAAAGGGAACTTACATGTCGTAAGAAGACCTGACCAACTTGGAGCGGGAAGTGTTCACACTTTTCCAACTCTTGCAGGAAATGTTGACTGTGGAATTCATAAATCTTTTCTATATTGCCAAAGATTACATTCCGTTGACCTCTCAATGCTTGTGGAATATCTTCTCTCACTAATTCTGAGATGTAGTTCTGTAAAAGCAGAAAAGTTAACATTTATACACTCAGGTTTAATTTAGTTCAGAAACCAAGCTATAGGAGATTAAATTGGATCGACTGTTTACGAGAAAGTTGAGAAAGATTCTAGAAACTGGTTAATTTTAACACTCAGTAACAACAAAAAAAAAGTAAAGAAAAACAATTATCTAGTTAAGTACGTACCAAATGTAAAAAATAAATGGATGAAAAAAAAAATAGATCCGACACAAAGCACTGTTTAACAATTCAAGTTCGTGAGAGGAACTTAATGGAAGCTCATTTTTGCAAAAAACAGCTTTTGTGATAACTCCAGCTATTACTTGAAAGCATGCGCCTGGCCATTTTTGTGCCCACCAAATAATTTTGAATAAATAAAGGACACTCACCTCAATAACATATTCAAGTGATTTGACATAATCACGTTCGGTTGTTATCATCTCCCGTAGGATAAGTTTTAAAGTCCTGAAAAAAAAATAAACCATAAAAATTAAGTTACATGAAGTGCATGACTGCAATATATTGATTCAAACTTCTTCCTTTCTCCTAAGAAAATGATAATTTTTGATAAAATTTTCTTAATTTCTACATGTGAATATAAATTAATGATTTCACAAAACTAAAATTCATTTAAATTTTTGCAAACATTGGCAAAATTTTGATTTTGCACTCTTGAAATTCGAATTTCAACCATTTCAAACCTGATAACAATAAAAGTAAATTATTCCAATTATTGTAAAATTTAAAAGGATAAAAATAATTCACAATGATTTGTAGTTTATTTCAGGCACGCAGCCTATCACCAGTGAAATACTTTTGTTTTGATTGAAAAAAGTCAAAAATTGGATTGATAGAAAAAGTTTCTAACAATGAGTCCAGATAAACCTAAATGACATAATGAATCGAACTTTCAGATGACATTATCAACAGCTGTTATCAGTAGCACTTATCTATCATTGGTATCTATCGTTTTAAAAATTCAAATATCAAACCATACCAAGATCAGAGAAAGACGTAGACCTACATGTACGTCAAAAGCGATGAGTTGTAGGAAAATAACATGCAAACTTTTTAAACATTTGTTAAACTTGAGAACTTACTTTTGTGCTTTCAAAGTTTGGACACCACAACCTTCAGCATTAATTTCTAACGAACTGGCAGAGCAGTGCAAGTGACTATTTACAGATACAGGCGGCACAGGCCTTGTGTCGCAAGGGTTTTCACAATTATCTTCTACATCTTCATTACTGAAACATAAAACAGCACAAGAATTCATTTAACTGTTACTTCGTATTAGCAACATAGAATGTAGGTAGGTATCGTATTACCTCAAAACCTTACCAAATAATCCGTCTTTTGACACCAAAAACTCAGAATAATCAAAAATGAATAAAAATTTAAAAAAATGAAAAAAAAGGAACAAAAACCATTTGAAGACAGTCAATATGAACAGTGCAACTACCAGACCGCGTATCTCGGTTTGCGACGAAGCAAACTTTTAAAATGGAATTTTAAAATGGAAAACTGCTCAATATCAATTCTGGGAAATTTCCGTGTTTTTTATTTTCCGTGCAAGGAATACTGTGAGAAAATCTCAAAAAATGATGTTGATTTGTTTTTGCGGAGAAAAATAAAAAGAGAGCGGAGATTTTTAAACACCGAAAACGAGATATGTGGTCTAGTAGTTCCACGGTCAATGTGTGTAGAAAACACTGTAAACTCAAGATGGATCTATTTATTCATCAAAATTTGCATGACATGGTTGGCCGGATTTCAATAAATCGCTCAATTTTGATCATTGATTATAGTAACCTAGAGTAATCTTGTCGTACTCTCTGAAATGTCTGTCCCTAAAATTTTACGTGGGAATCAGCGCTTAAATCGCTAATTCCTGACACATGCAAGAGCTCCATTTGCGTCTGATGATTCTGGACATAGGTACATTTGAGGGCCTTGGAGGACAAGACGCACAAGTGCAGTTTTTGAAAAATTAGGATATTAATGATTTCAAGTAAAATAATTGGTTTTTATGTATATCCTGTGAAAACTTCGCTCCATAATTCCAATTTAAATATTAAAAAGTCAGATTGAACTGTTTCTCCACCATAAAAATCCATGTAGTTTCAAAACTTCAAACACGTGTTTCTCGAAATAGCAAAAACTAAATTATGCGCCTTGTCCTCCCAGCCCCTCATTTGTTAAAATACATACCTCTTGGTACCGCTCTCGCCGCTTTCGGTGGTGTTGTCTCCAGCGGAGCTCTTGTCCTCCTCATCGAAGTTCTCTGTCGGATACTGCCAGGTACATGAACGATGAAGTGGTGTGCGTTGAGGGCAGAAACAGGACTCCTCTTGAATGTGGCTCAGAGCTCCTTCTGCCCCACCCCCAGAGTCCCAGCATGCACACGAACTACTCGTGTTGAAACCAGTGGGTGCTGTGGCGGGCAAAGAGCAGCGCCTGGCTGGTCGCGGTGTTGAGTTCCAGTCTCGGTTCTCACCAATGCAGGCCTGGATCTGGGCTAGCGTTTCCTCGCAACGGCTCTGCGCGACCTGTAAAAACGTAAATTTTATTCATTTTATTATGGAATGTACCCATGATTTTACATTGCAACAAATTGCTTGGGAATGAGACAAAATAAGATGGTATGTACCGTACGTACCTTTTGTCCTTTAATGACTGATCCACGAAAGTGTGCTACGAGAAGCGATTGAAAGCGCCTTCAAAAACGGGGACGCAACAGGCAATGCGCACATAAAGTTGCGTGACACGTATTTGAGGGCGTTTTGAACCTCAAGACGGGCTCCAGTACATACCACTGATTTTTATCGGGAGATCTAGAAGGTCATTTTATCAATACGGAGTGGAAAAGTAGCTCCATGTCCAATTTTCAAGGAGTTCGGTAGAGGTTTATAGCGTGGCGCGCAAGTCTGGTTGTTATTATTGTATTCATGATGTAAAACAAAGCTCTTGATTTTTTTTTCTTGCGTTTCTAAATCATTCAAAATTCCTCAAAGAGCAAGTAAGAGTCCGCATGTAATAGGGATCACTAAGATCTTCCCGCGCATTTTTTCAGCCAGTCAAACACCCGACGACCACTTTTTAATTTCTCATGGAAAATAACACGGGGAATCAAAACCATGTACCTATTTTTTTCGAATTCAGTCAATTTTCTGCCAAAATATGTTCACAGCTGACCTCTCAAGGATTTGGTGTTTCTGTTGTGTATAATACGTTCCACGCTCTCGAAAAAAACACTAAGGATGTTGATTTTTGATATTTCAATTTTCTTCTACTCGGGTCGATGTTTCTGACTGCCCCGATAGCTCTTTTCTCTGGTAAAAAACATCGACCCGACTGGAAGAAAATTGAAATTTCAAAAATTAAGATCATTGGTGGTTTTTTTGTAGTGAGTGGAACGTTCTATACAGCAGTAGAGACACCAAATCCTTGAGAGGTCAGTTGTGAACATATTTTGGCAGAAAATTGACTGAATTCGAAAAAAAATAGGCACTTGTCTCGATTCCCCATGTTATTTTCCAGTTGTGAACATATTTCTGCTAAAATTGATTGAATTTGAAAAAAAATAGGTATATGGTTTTGATTTCCCTGGTTATTTTCCATAAGAAATGAAAAAGTGGTCGTCAGGTGTTTGATTGGCTGAAAATAAAGCGCGGGAAGACTTGGTGGTCACGCATTTTCCCTATTGAATGAGGACTCCTGTTTTTTCTTTGGGGGATTTTGAATGATTTAGAAACACAAGAGAAAAAAATGAGCTTTGTTTTACACAATGAATACAATAATAACAACCAGACTTGCGCGTTACGCTATAAAACCCTACCTAGCTCCTTGAATATCGGACACGGAGCCACTTTTCCCCTTCGTATTGATAAAATGACCGTCCAGATCTCCCGATAAAAAGCAGAGGAACTGGAGCCTGGCTTGAGGTTCAAAACGCCTTCAAATACGTGTCACGCAACTTTATGTGCGCATTGTCTGTTGCGTCCCTGTTTTTGAAGGCGGTTTCAATCGCTTCGTTGCATACTTGCGTGGATAAGTCAGGGGGGATTTCTCACCTTCCTCCCTACAATTAGTTGAAACTTTACTTTCGCAGAGGTACTTTGGGTAACTTTTAGAGTATTTTTGGAAATTTTTTGAAGTTTTAAGAAATATAACTTCAAAATATTTGTGCAGAATGGCCGCCCATAATTTGATGTGCAAATTTACGTATATCTTTAAGTAAATCGTAGGTAGATTTTTGACATCGATTGGTCAAAAAGCTTCAATTCAGAAGCAATTAGAGTCAAAATCATTTTGTTAAAAATCAGGCAGAGTGAAATGACTTGAAATTTAGTCAAGTTTGAATCGAAATTAAAATCAAAATTGACTCGACCCCCTCTTCAATGTGGGGACAGAGAATCATTGGACGGCGTTAAGTAGGAAGGAATCAAGTCACATTAGCTATTGCCAAATTTAATTGAGCAATTTACTTTTTCACATGAAAACGGTTGTACGGATTTTTCTACTGATTTCATGGAATTTCCTGCATATCACGAAGCGAATTCCTAAACATTTTTAGAGAAATTCACACACTCTTGCAAAAAATTCAATTGCCCGGTTGAAATTGGCAATAGCTGATGTGGCTTAGTTCCTTCCTGAAAAACGCGAATCATTTCTTACAAGTGTGGGTAAGAGAGCAGGTTGAAGAGTTTTTAACAATTTATGAACTTTTTGGCTTTGTTTTCCCAGCAAAATATTTTCTTTTTAATTTTTTGGATTTGTTTTCCCGCAAAATAGGATATTTTTTATAAGTTTTTGGCTATGTTTTGTCACAAAATACACTGGAAAAAACACATTGGAACTAGAGTCCAGACTCTTAAAAACATTGACAAGAAAAAACACTCTTGATTCAACTAGATTTAAACTTAAATCAAGAACCAAGCCTCTTAATTTGAGCAGATTCCCTTTTGATTTGAGCTTAAATCTGATTGAATCAAGAGTCCTTTTTCTTGTCAATGTTTTCAAGAGTCTGGACTCTGGATCCAATGTATTTTTTTTTCCAGTGTAGTGTGGGTCCAGAGCTATTTTACCACCTTGTTGAAGTGTTGTTTTACCTTGCATTGATCGATGATTTTGTCGGTTCCAAGTTTGGTGGCGAGGTGAATCATCTCCTCGAAATGTTGTGGGGTGGGTGGTGGGTGGGCCATGAGGTACTGTTGCAGTTGCTTCATCGTCTGCTCGCAGTTGGGCGCCTCGTCTGGTCGCACCCGCGATAGATACTTCATCGCATCCAAAGCCCATTCCCATGCCTGAAAAATATTTTTAAAAAAATATATTTAAATCCGGAAGCAGCAACTTTATTTCATTTTAAAATAGGCGCTGTATTACAGTATTGCAAAAATGTTGCTTCTTCATAACGATCTAAAAAATATCTCAGAAAAGCAAATGGTTTTTGCTTCCTACCAAAGAAAGTGTTAATTTTAAAGGAAAATAACTGTGTAAATCATGATAAGGCACATATAATGAGTATTTTTAAAAAGAAAGAAGAAAGTGCACGATTTTGAAAACCCTGTAGTCGCGCTGGTTCCTTTTCGCAAAATGCTATCCAAATATGTAACGCTCCGCAAGGAGAGAAGCAGGAAGGGGTTTCAAGGAAAGTATTGCGCCAATGTGTTACTATGTGTTAATGGTCAGGGATCTACGTCACGAAATCGTTAGGAAGGGGAAGGGATATCGAAAATCCGCAATTTAGCGTTACGTATTTTATGACCGGCCCCGTCGTAAATAAATAAAGGAAGTAAAAATTACTCTAATAGTTTTCAAGTGTAAAATAGTTTTAAAATACTGGAGCCAAAATCGGTGCGGATGGTCGAACGCCTCAAAGAGTATTCTCAAAATCTGAAAGAAAGGACGGATGGAACTGATCCAGTAGCCGTCTGCTTAATTCTCGCCGGACTTCTACTTCTAGTCCCTACTATACTGACTTGCTAAGGAAGAACGTCATATGAGCCGTCAAGCGTTGCCAAATCTCCTTCGACAAATCATGAATTTTCGGAAAAATTTAACAAATTTGTTTTCGATTTTTTCAGAGAATTTAGTTCGTAATTTGATCAAAGGAGTCTGAAAATTTCAAGGGAAAATATTCAAGACTTTCTTCGAAAATAAATGGTTTCTGAGAGAAAATTTGGCAACTTACGAAAGTTCCCGCAACGTTTTTCATTAGCGCGGCAGTATAGGGAAATTATCATGGGCGGAGAAACTCACTGATCCGTTTTAATCACTCCCGGAAAACGGGCGGGAGAGAGGCTGGTTACGTCGACCGACGTAGCCAAATTTCAAAGTTTGAAGCTCATTTTAACCTAATGGAATCAAAACGAGCCTACCACACGAAACTTTCGCAATTTTTGAACATTGATTTTCAGTAAAGCTTCATGATATTGTAGAATGTAATTACCGAAAATTTCGCGTACTCGAGAAACTCTTCCGAAATCCAGGCTCATATTTCATCGTGGCAACAGTGGAAAGCTCGGATGAGCTGGACGCCTGGATAATCTGCGACCTAATTAAAACCAATTCTGATTCTATGGACGGCCTTGGTCGAGTATTGCTCTCTCAGTTTCCGACTAGCGGATTGCTTTTCGGATAGGAATCTGGTGTCCGAGTTAAGAAGATTGATCACTAATTCTGATCTCGTGGTAGGTAGCGGTTTGAAGCCGTATGTCACGGACAAAACACGATTGACGAGTAGGAATTTGACTGGATTTCAACTTAAACTCCCAAGGGATTTTAGACGGAGGTTTAGTTTCCGAATATTCTAATGAAAACGGCGTATCAACGTAAGTTTAGATACATGAGTTTTGGCCAAAAATTATGGAAGGTTGAAGTGGTTTGCATTATGCAAAAAGGAACCAAGAGCATTCCAATGTTGCTAAGATTGTGTATCTTATATTCATTCAATAAAATTACTGAATTATGTGAAAAATTAAATTTACAAGGGTATTTGCGCCTTTAAGTTATAGTTTACTAGGAGTAAAGATCAAATTAGTTCAGATAATCTGTGTGTATTTGTAAGGTAAACAAAGTTGCACAATCTTAGCGACATTGGAATGCTCTTGGTTCCTTTTTGCAAAATGCAATCCAAGTTAACTACTATTTAAAATCTATCCCCGAAGTGACTCTCAAATCCTTTTTTATATTCCTTACTGCGCACTCGTCTTATTTTAATATCTCTAATTTTGTTATAATTTCTGGCAATGTACAGTAACTTACAGTCCAACCGTCCGACAGTAAAGAAGCCGTAAATTCAACGCATTTTGCACGAATGTTGAAATCAAAATACAATTTTTATCAAGTAAGTTTTAGTACTGATCAATGGCATGTCCTGATCTTGGCGTCCGTTAGCTATTACCACCAGAGCGCCTTCTATTTCTTGTGTATGCATCACGCATATCCACAAAGCAGCAAAAGTTGCATCCCGACGGCGTTGTGAATCAACACCGCATCTTGGCGTCCATTAGCTGTGATTGAGAGCGCGCCTTCAGTTTTTGCGTATGCAATACGCATATCCGTAAAGCATTATTAGTTGTATCAAGACGCCTTACGTATTAGATAACTATACATCGTGAAAGCTTACCCGGTCGACGAGGTCGAAACATCTGGACGTGTCCTCGAGTCTCTCCCTTGTATCCTCGAGTCTGTCGGTGAATCCGCGGAGATGTTGTTTAAGTGATCTCGCCAGTTCCTTCAATCCGTAGCCGTGCGTCCCGCATAGCCCAGCCTCTTCCAACAGATCCCCAGCTTTGTCCAAGTGACGCTGCAACACAGAAACGTATAATCGAATGAGAGGAGGAACGCACAAAATACGGACTTTAAAAAGTAACACGACCGAATAAAAACTAGAACACGGGTAAATAGGAATTTGGTGGGTTCCCCCTTTTTTCCCTCAAATTTTAGCCTTGTTTAGTCGCTTGATTACTTTATCAGGCTGAAAAATCAACTTAGTCGGCCCGAAACGATGGTACAAAAAAACAACTTAAAATAGGACTAAGGCCGGAAGAAAACCATAAAATAAAAAACCCGGGACGTTTCGCGGTGTGACACCCGAATTTTCAACCGGCAAAAAAAAGAAGGAAAATTTGGGAAATTTGCAATAAAGAACCACTATTTCTAGCCTATTTTAAAAACAACATACATGCCATTGGTTGCTCGACGCAGATATGTGCTTTTATGGGAGGGCCAGAGATAGTGGTTCCCCATTGCAAAATGTAATCGGTTTAAAGGAAGGCTCGGTTTGTTTATTTTCAATTTTCCTCCTTTTTTCCTTGCCGGTTGAAAATTCGGGCGTGACACCGCGAAACGTCCCGGGTTTTTCATTTTATGGTTTTTTTTTCTGGCCTCAGTCCCATTATAAGTTGTTTTTCGTTTTAAAAAAGCTAGCTTTTTGGCAAGTAAGCATAGCAATGAGGGAACATTGTTATACTAAATTAGAAAACTGTTCATTGATCGAAACACGAGAGTGGGAAATATAATCACATTTTTGTTCAACATAGACTCGAGTGTTGCAAACCCTCGCGTAAAAGTCCGACCGACTAAAATATCGATCTGAATGAAGTAGGAAGTGAAAATGCACTTCCAATCGTCTGATCGAAAGCACGTGTCAATGAGTGAAATAGAAGTAGGTGCTCGTGTAAAGAGACAGAAAAACTAGTGGGACACGGCAAACCTCTACTCGTGCGGCAAGCGAATCAATGTGTTGATTAAACCAGCATTACACGGTTTGCTGCATGGTAGTAAATGCGATAGACTACTCGCGGTAAAACAACTTGTGACCCTGTTGTCACGATCGCGGGAATAATCGGTTATTTCAAATTCGAATATGTTTATATCACTTCAAGTAGGTTCAAATATCACAGCCAATTTTAACAAGATTTCATAAAAATAAAAATGAATACATCCCACCACCCTTTAAGTAAAAACTTGTGGTGGATTTTGGGAATGACATCAAATTTCCTGATATTTTCCAGTTTTTACCAATGAGAGACACCCTGTTTTCTTATTCATGCTAACTCGGAAGCGAGAAAAGAACTGCTGGTTGATTGTTGAAATTGATAGACACAGCGATAGACAAAGAATACATAGGGAATATGGAGCGATCCTATTGGTTGAAACGGTTGGCTTCTATAGACTGAGGGAGAAAATAATGGATTAACTAACGGGGTCTATTGGGAGTTGCAGTTAGTTAGTCTATTATCTATGCCTCCTGAATCCATTGGAACTACCAGCTTCTACCAAGAGAATCCCTGCACATCCCTTAAGCGACGGTGTAAGTCGGCAATCACATAACTCGGTTTGCGACGTCGCAAAGTTCCTGTCATACTTTATTTTTTAAACTGAAAACGATTGAACGTCAATACTTTGAAACTGCCGCGATTTTCCTTCTCTGCGCGAAGAACACTCTGCACAAACTTCAAGGAATGATGTCAATTTGTTCTCCTTTGCAAAAATAACATAGAGGCGGAGATTTTCAGACACCGCAGACGAGATATGTGATTGCGGACTTACGCCGTCGTTATGTCTTCAGTGTCTACAGCTTCGTCTATCAATTTCAACGATCAGCACGCAGAAGGGAAGTTTCCGTCAAAAATTCATGTAGGCAAGTAAAAAGAGAAAAAAATAGCCATAAAAAGAGATGATGTACGAGAGTAGTAATTACACTGACTAGTATTTCAAAGGCTGGCTGCACAGGCCTTTTTGTCAGCCCCTCATTCTGCACCCACGGAAATAACTCGCAAAGCAGCCGCGAGGCAGACGGCCGGCTGGCAACGCAACCCGGGCCGACAGATAGCAGCACCGGCACCCAATAGACCAGCGCGATAAGCACCGGCAATTACACGGGAGAAAGTCTCAAAAACGGGATTAGCATGCGTCCGAATCGCTAAATCATAAGCGTGTGCGGGGCTCATTTTTCTCGCCGAGACCGCGACACCAACAGCGCCGTTTTTAAGGCTCGGGTCCCTGGGGCGTGGACAAACAGCGAGCCAGGCGATTACGCCACTTCGCTTCCTTCCTTTCCTATCTTCCGCGCCTTCAATTAAATTTTTACGCACGCCAACCTTCGATGCCGTGCTAAAAACAAACGTCGCAAGAACATTCCGACGTTGCCAAATTTGTTCCGATTTGACATAAAAAAGTATTCAGGGATTGAATAAATAATCATTTATGGTAATGTGTCTGTTGCAAACTTCGGCTAGAGCAAAAATATTATTTTTCGGAGAGCGCAGATTTTGAAACACCGCAATCGAGATGCGTGGTCAGCGGGCTGATTGTTGAAATTGATAGACAAAGTAATAGATATAAAGAAGACACACAGAACATGGAGCGATCCTATATTGGTTGCAATGGGTGGTTCTTATAGACTAAGAGAAAATGATGGACTAACGAAAGGCTTAAGGGTCCCTAGTAGGTGGCCGTTAGTTAGTCTATTACTTACCTCCTTTGTCCATTGCAACTGCCTGCTTCCACCTATAGGATCATCTATGAGACCCCTCTATATCCCTTTGTCTTCTTTGTCTATAGCTTTGTTTATCAATTTCAACAATCAGCCCGCTTGTAGTTTCATCATCGATATATAATATTTTCTATTTCAGAGAACGCATGAATGATTTTACCTTGAGAAGTTCTCACACACTAGACTCAACCAGTCATTATATTTCCTGAAAAATTGGAGGGAAAATATTCACACATTTCTGAAATATTATGCATTTTGTCGAAGGAAATCTGGCAACGTCCGTAGGATCATATGACGTTTTTCCTCACCACAACAGTTCGGTACGGTGACCGCTCGAACGAAGACAGACTCATCAGTCAAATCACTACCACAAAACCTTATATTACACCGTGAAATAAACGCATTCGCCGCCAAATTTGGCAAGAGGGTAGAGACTTGCGGTATGGGCTACCGCAAAGTTTTTGCACGCTACCATCGAGTGAAGACATAAATGACCATGCCACTTGGTTCTATTACGTTCATAGGTGATGGATCGCCGCAGGCGTGCGTACCTATAGTTATATCCTACTCAGTGCTTTGGCTAAGTGTAGAGTGAGGGTAGCGGAAGTAACGGTAAGGCACTTCTTTCTACGACGCTAAAAAGCTCTTATAGTTGAAAAGTTTAAATTACACGTCGGTTGAAAGGTTCTTGGATTGGCAAAAAGTGATTGGATTGGCAAAAAGTGATTGGATTGGCAAAAAGTGATTGGACGTTCGGGAAATACTGATGGATATTTGATAAATATTTCATTCAACGCATAATTCAAAGTTTCGTTGTCATGTGCGGCAAGAATCACAAAAATCGACGGAGACTTTAACGCGGCGTAGGAAAGTAAGCAAATGCGGTTAAGTGCTTGAATTCAGTGGCGTGGTGTACTTTGCGATTTATCGATTGATCTGACATTCAAACTCATATAACACCTTAATAATCGATTCTCTACCACAGCTTCAAATGGAAAAATATCGATAATCGATCGTTCACGCCTCGCCACTGCTTGAATTAGGTATCTGAAAACTTGTCACCATCTTTTAGCATGTTTTCGTCTTTGGAAAAAGCTGGAATTTCCGGAAAATCAAAAATTCAGCGCTTCAGAAATTTTTATCCATTCAGTCGATCCGCGTAATTGGACGTTCAAATAAGAGTCTCTATAAAAATACTTAAAAAAATTAAGGATCATAAAATTTTATACGCTCTGTGCGCGAAAAATCCTAAAATTATCAAAATCTCCTGTTTTCCTAGAAGCGACTGATAATCTTGGGACTTTGAACTTGTGAGTTCCAAGAACATCAAACTATCATGAATTTTTTCAAAATGAAAAAATTTCAAAAATTTGAATTTCCCGCTCAAATTGCGACAAAAGTGAAAAATTCCGGACTTTCTTGCAAAATTTCCGCACTTTTTCAGTACTTCCGGACCGCCCTAGAATGATTAGTACTCCTTCCAGACTTTCCGGAAATTCCGGACCTGTAGACGCCCTGGCCAATGGACATGGACTCTCGGCTGAAGTTTGGCGCCCATCGTGGCAAAAATTGCGACGGATGACGTCATGTCACCCGGATCGTCGTGTCGAATGGAGTTACCATTATATTTTCGAGCAGAGTCGAATCGTTAAGGCCCCTCATTACCCACTCGTTTGCAAGCTGAGCACGCGCATAGGGTCTCTCAAGCGCACGCAAAAATATTCAACCGACTTTCGGAGCTTCCAAGCGAATTCGGCCGCACCCTTTCTCGAAGGCCCCGCTCCATTATCGATAATTCCTCATTTGAAGCTATGGCAAACAATCGATTACTAAGGTGTTCGTTGTGAACATCCTGTGTATCGATCCTTTTTCACAGGTTTAAATGGCAGATCAATCGATGTATCGCAAAGCACGCCACTCCACTTTGCAGTGCTCGTCGAGCTAGGAGGCAGCTCTTGTTTCGGATGACATTTCATTTTTTTTCAAATTTACCGAATCATCATTTTAAATACCTCGTTCTTGCCAATCAGTTAACGCTTCGGTAAAGTTCATTGTTTTCAGTTTAAATGCTCGTGGAAGAGAAAAGATGAAGCAAACAGATCAGCTGCACTGAAAAAAATGAGTTAGCGTCAGATGACTAAAAATGGTTTCTATACACTAACTCATATTGTGTGATTTGGACACACATGATTTTTGGTTTCTGTACACTAACCACTATTAGTGCTGGGAACTAATTCCGCTACTCTAATTCGCATTCGGTAGGGTCAACCTAACCTCAAAACTGAGAGAAGAGAAAACGGCTTAGC